AAAAAGAAGGTAAAGTGAAGAGAGAGGAAACGAAAAAGAAGAACGAAAAGAAGAGGGGGAAGGAAGAAGAAAACAGAGGAGGGGAAGAAGATGCTCAAGTTTGCTAATAATTGGTGGCTGAGAACCTTGGTTTTGAAGCTGGAATTGGAGAACTCAACAACTGAGATGAGAAGAAAATTTTGGTAATTAAGCTTGCTCCTATGGAATATTTAGGTGACTAGGTTTCGATTTAAAATAGAGGTCATGGTTTCCTCGTTTTGCTTGTGAATCTGCGGATGCTTTAAGATTACTTATGTGTGGCAAAATTTGGGATTTAGTGAAAGAAGAATCAGTTAGGGTTTGTCAGGATAGAATTGGAAGTAAGAAGAACAAGAAAAAGAAATGTAGAATTGATGTTGTTGGTCTCGACTGAAGAGAGGGAAACCAAGTATATAGAAGTTAAGATGTCATTGTTGGATTTCTTGGGGTTTATGAGTTATGAATTAATGGCTGTAAAATAGAAATGTAATGGGTTTTGGTAAAGAAGAGTTTCATGGGGTAAAGAGGCAAAAGAAGGGAAGAAGAAATGAAAAAGTGAAAATTAATGGTGGGTTTGAAATCTGTAGAAGAAATGAGGAGAGAGACTAGAGTTGTGGGTGGTTGATGTTAAAGAGAGAGAAAGAAATCAAGGATAAAAGTAAATGTTAAATAAAGGTAAAAAAAAAGAAATGAAATGATATATTTTGCATGAGATGGAGTGGGAGAAAGAGAAAGTGAATGGGTTTGGTGGGACCCACATGTAAGAGAGAGAATAAGTGATGGTTTTAAATGAAGAGATAGAATGAGGAATTTAGATAATTGGGTTATTTTGAAGTTATTGTGATTAAAGTTTGAATTAAGTTTATGTTGAAAATGGAATTTAAGTGTGTTAATTTGGTATTGAATCGATATTTTAGGTCATACAAGAATTGGAGCTGCGTACGACCGAGTTTAAAGGATTTGTGAGTGGTTACTTTATTAAACGTTTTCTATTATCTAGTATTACAGAATTTATGAGAAATTATATATATTATGTATGATTTAGCATCTATGCTGAGAATGAAAGAAAATGTGTTTATTCGAGAATTTAGAAATGTTTATTAGAATTGAGAAATGTTTTATGATTTAGAGAAATGTTTGAGAAAAGTTATGAAAAAGTATTTAGAAAGAGATTTCAGAAAATGATTATAGAATTTCATGAAATGTTCTTAGAATTAAGAAAGATTTCATAAATGATTTGAGAAAGTTAGAAATGTTCTTAGAAAGAAGAAAAGAAGAATTTTAGAACAGTTTATAAGATTGAGAAAGAAGTTTTCAAACCACCATGTTATTGTATCCAGGCGATTACCCGTATGCTATGTGAATGTGTTTCTATAGTATATCCAGAAATAGAAGGTCTTTGGGACCATTTGACTCCACGTGTTGAGAAAATTATTCTGCTGTGTGTATTAAGATTACTCTATGCCAGTAGATCAGAAAAGAATGTGGATACATGTGTGGTGTTGAGTTTTTTCTATCTGTTTTATGATTGAAGAAGAATGTTTTATATGATTTCGAATGTGGGTTGAGAAGTTGGCGTAACTAGGTCGCAGGGGACGCAGAGGAATGTCGAGGCGATTAGGGCCAAATCCGGATTCCGAATCCTGGTATGTATCCTGGGCTTGGGAGCGTTGTCTTTTCAGTTTGCCTAGAAAGAAAATTGTTGTTACAAGTTTGATCTATGAGAAAGTCTTTATGAGTTTTTAGTTGCTAAAGTTTTATAAGATCTAAAAGAGAATGTTTATTACTTCAGTTTTATGAAGTTTGTTTTAAGAACTGAATTTTCAATTGTTTATGAAAGAAAGTTGACGAAATTATTTTCTTATTAACTTACCACTCACTGAGCTTCCCAGCTCACTGTTTATGCTTTGCTTTTCCCCCCAGGCTGTACCTGAGTATCTGAGTTTCTGAGTTTCAAGGAGATAGTAGTTCAGATTCTGCCACCAAGGATAGTTCAAGGATTGCATATCATTTTGTATGTAATTTAGTTGGTTGGTAAGAAATTGTATCTGCACCATGTTGATAGAATGTATAGAATGGATGTAAGAATGGTTGTTCTGTTAAGATTATTATTTTATTGTGCATCCATTCAGAGTTGTTAGTCAAATATCAGGTCAAAGTTAAGAAGAAAGTTGATCATGGACTTCGTAGCTAGTCGGGGTCTGTGGTTGGCACGACTCGTTCTAGGACTAGTAGGTGTCTTGGGACGGGTCGTGTCATTCTTCAATTCCTCCATGAGTGAATTGTATTCGGACAACTGAGAAGAGTATGCCTCGGCCCTTTTGGTGACTTTAGCAAATTTGATCTTGATTTTTCTTCTAGTCGTGTCACGTTGAAAAAGCTCAATGTTGACAAAGGCCACCCCTCGACACGAAAGAGCTAAACCTTGAGAATACTACAACGGTTAAAGGAGCAATAAAGAAGGATAAATCCAGCTGAATTCAAGTTTCGGTTTACCTTAACAAAATGGGATAGAGCGTCTTGGAAGAGCTCACTAGCAGACGATCGGTTGTAATCATGCGTTTGACGTCCCAGGTCCCTCGAGAAGTGTGGACAAAGCTTATCTATGAGAGACAATACTTCGTCCTAGCATAAATTTGACAAAAAAGGCGGCAGTTTGAAAGTAAAATATGTAGAGGAGTCAGAGACTTCAAACGATGTCTCCCTAGCTCCATATGTCTTGGTTCTAAGAACAGCTTTACCCTTGTCAGCGAGAGGAGTTCGGGATTGAACTTCATCAAGCTCTTGAAGGGAAATTCCAGGGACGTCGCCTAAAATCTCACATTTGATGTCCATGTCCTTAGGAGAGGGGGGTGAATGTTCAGAATGGCAGGTGAAGAAGGCGTCCCCATCTGCTCGGTTGGCAGATGGGTCAGCAAAGTATTATCATAGGTTCCAAAAGTCAGAGCCAGAGGATTAGCTTCAGTATTTGCTCACTTTCTTCTCAAAAACTGGGTCTCTTCTTCTTCATTCCATGCAGAATCTTCAGCAGAAGGGGATGAAGTACCAGCATTTAGAACAGGGGCTCATGCATCCTTCGACTGATTCTCGTTGTCATATGTAGAAGAGACCAACCTCATCTTCACCGACCTCGTCGATCTGGGTAAGCTCGGCAGTGGAGGCCAACTTTGTCTTGAGGTTAATGGTCTTGTTTCAGCAGTTGGTTGGGGCTGTTGTGTATCTCCATCAGAATTCTCTTGTCTGTGGCTAGGCTGGGAGGAACTTCCAGGTACTTTCTCTTTGTTAGGAGAGTTCTTTGCCCACTTCCAGGGGAATGACTTTATAACGACTGTTAGTGAATCTGAAAGGTCGCGGATTCATTTCTTATACGTTGGAATTATAGATATGTTATTCAACCAATTTCTGAAAAGTGAAGTAAAAAGAGTTAGTGATGGTAGAGTCAGATATTCAGTGAGTCTAGCAGCAAGCCCACAACTCCTCAGGTTTCTATTTGTCAAAAGGTCAGGACTATAGCGGTCCCTAACCGATAGGACGCTGCAACCAGCCAAAACAGCTCTAGTTACTCTAGACAATTCCGGTGGAGGATAAACCAAAGTTGGAAAAGCAAGAGGCAAAAAAGTTAATTAATTTAGCAAGGACTTGTTTTGGGAAAAGTAAAATGAATGTTGGGAGTTTACTTAGCCTACCAAACTACATGGGAACATCAGAGTAAGGAGCCCTTTCGGTAGTAGTCATCAACCAATTACCCGAAACATAGAACCGTTTTTCCTTCCACTTCTTTATGGAGGAAGGACCATTGACGATGGAGGTGAATCCTTTCTCATTATGGGGCCATTCACTAATTTCGCAAGGCCAGGAAAAAAACTCAAATAAAAATGACCAAGAGCCCTAAAAGACTTCTTTATGGTGTGGACAACTAACATTTCATCTATGGACAGGATGTAGGTTGGATCATCGTAAAAGTGCCACCAAAGGTACCAAAATCCCATAAGAGTCTCCCACCTATTCAGGGTACTGAGTAGGAGCTAAATTAACCGCATTGAGAAAAAATTGGGCGGAAGGATGTAGAGGTAACCTAACCCCGTATTCAAACATTTGGGGGTAAAAACTGACACAACCTATACGAGGATTATTTATCGATTTGCCTTCCTTGGGAACTCTCAAATCAATATCTTTCGGAATTGAATAATTAAATCTATGGATTCCTAGTAATTCCTCAAGATAGTTTAAATGAGAATAATCAGAGTTACCAAAGTTATCTCTCCGCTATTTGCTGGGGATTTACTTCGCTTACGACGACAAGATTTTCGACTCTTAGGTGGCGGAATTTCTTGAGGTGGACCTTGGGTCGTATAAGGTATATGAGAACTAGAGTCAAAAGACTTAGTCCTAGCCATTTACCAATTACAAAGAAAAGAGGAAGGAAAAATTAATCGAGTTTGGACAGAAAGTTACCTAGCAATAAGAAAAGCGACGAGAACGACAAGCTCCCCTGGCTCAGAGTGGTTGAAAATAAAACCCCTTGAATGCTTGAATTTGGTTACAAGAAGACTGGAAAATAGAAATTAGAATAGAATGAAAACGCGCGTGTTAAGGGTTAAATACTTGACGATTGTAGGGGAAAGTTTACACTCAAGTGACGCGGGCGGACTTCTTTCTTCCAAACTGGCTGCTACTTCGGAAACATCAAATCGAGTTCCTTGAGTCTTCCCAAAGTAGAGGCTATTGATTAATAAATAATTTTACTATGCACACGTCATCAAAATCTTACTCAAGAGGAAGAGCACGTGCAGGAAGCTCACTCACGTGAGACTATCGTCAGTTCGGTATCACTAGTTCCGAAGATACCAAACTAAGTGCGCACCTGCGAAATTGGTGCAAATAATCTCAGTTCGTGGCAACTCAACTGATTTTCCCCACTATGCGTACAGTTGCCTAAATATTAGGAGGTAGAAACCCTAAATTCAAATTCAAATCCCTTTACACCAACGGGTATTTATGAACTTCTATAAATATTCATAGGTACAGGCAGTAAAGGGTACGTGAGATTAATTCCTTTAAGCATAGACTATTTTTTAATAGAATACGACATTGACAAAATCTTCGAAGTGCTGACTCATTTTTTTGCAGGACTTCATCTTGGAGTATTCTTGAAGATCTATTGTGATTATCAAAAATTTTCAGTAAGAACATTTGATAACCCATCTAGTTTCTGGGTTCTAAAATTTGAGAAATGTTTCTAAACAGGGTATTTTTTTAAAAACTACAAAAAGTAATTTCATTTTTCCCGTTTCTATTTTTTTTTCTTTCTTTCATGTTGTAGCGTCGTCTATACATAAAATATATTGTACTTTATAAAACATGATAATTGGTATTTGATCAGTTGGTATAGGCATCTACTTGATGGCCACTTCTTTGTCATGTCTTCATTCACATGCATAACAAATATATTTTCTATTTTATAAATAAAAAATATAAAAGTTCAGTTCACATGCAAAACAAAAATATTTTCTATTTTATAAATTAAAAAATATTTTATATTTTTCAAAGAACAAAAATATTTTCTATTTTATAAATTAAAAATATTTTGAAAATCTATTCTTTATTTAAGTAATTATATATTTTAAACAAAATATATTTGATATTTATTAAGTTAAAAATATTTTTTGAAAATTTATTCTATATTTAAGCAATTATATTTTTTTAAAACAAAAAAATATATTTTCTACTTTTTAAATTAAAAATATTTTAAATTTTAATTTTTTTTATCTAAAGCTAATATATATTTTTAAATCAAATAATTTTTATCATAAATTATAATTTCTTTAATGAATTATATTATTCAAACATATATTATATCTACTCAATTTTATCTTAACTAGAAACAAAAATAAGTCAACTCGAGTTGAGTCATATATATATCTTGGAGAACCAAAGTTCCATATTCAAATATCATCCTTACAATTTGTTGTACTAAAAAACTGAAAAACAAAAACAAGAAATAGGAAATTTTTATCAAACATATTTTTATTTCTAATTGCAAAAAAAATAGGAAATAGAAATGGTTACTAAACGTATTCCACTTTCTAGTTCTAAAAAGTAATTATAAACCAGTAACAGGAAACAAAAAACAGAAAATAGAAAATAGATAACGAGAACGTTATCAAACACGCCTTAAATGCTCCAACTTTTACTTGGGGTGGGTAACAAATATTTGTACTTTTTGAAAAAGGGTTATGTTCAAATCCAAATCCCACAAGCCAACAGCATTTGCTCAAGCAAACTCAACCGTAATACTAGTAGGAGTTATGGTTTGATCTTCTCGTATTTTTCATTTCATTCATTCTTTTGCATCCCTTGCTCTACCAAGAGAGAGAAACGTGAGAAGAGTGTCGAAGTTTGTTGTAATGGTTAAGTTCAAACGAGTTAATTACTCCTCTATGCTCGGGAGAGAAAGGGTTAAGTTCGAATATGCAAATTCTTATATTCTCCTTCTCATGTTTATTTTCAACTTAGTTTTTAAGTAATGTATATTCTATGGACATTTCTCTTTATCCAATGAAAATGCATTCTATTCCATCTCTATCTTTATTGTTTTCTTCTCTCTTAATCATGAGCTAATTTACTCTTCTAGTCATTCAATGAATGTCTTAGCTTTCTAAAAAATGAACGCAGTTATTTGGGAAGCAGAACCCGGAGCGTTCCATTGCTTAACTTGATTTGTTCTTTTTCTTTTAATTGGTTCTTAATTTGGACATTTAAGACGATTTATTTTTAACTTAATTTGAAAAGGCTAGGTTAAAACAGATTTTGATCAAGTTAAAATGGGATCTCTTAAAAAAAAAAGTTAAAATGGGAAAGTTACTTAAAACAAGGACCTAGACGTAGGATCTTTCGCCCAATAAGAAATGTTGGTTAAGTAATTCACTTGGGTTTCTAGCTATTAATGTCTATATATGATAGTTAGCCTAATCTCCTAAACAAGTAAGTTGGAATAGGAGGTTGCTTAGTGCACAACTGAAGCGTCAGGCGTACCTCAAAGTTGTGTTTCATTTATTTTGTGTTGGATAGAAATACAAGGGTTGAATCTTAAATTTCAAAGTTAAACCTTATTTTCAATTGA